ATCTATAAAGCTGAACAAACTAAAACGCCATTTTGATAACAAGCATCTGAGCTTTGCCGACAAGGATACTAAGTACTTTAGAAGCAGAGCTGATGGACTCAGGAAAGGCAGACTTGACACTGGTAGCAAGTACCACAAGCAGAACGTAGCAGCCATTGAAGGTTCGTATTTGGTGGCACTCAGAATTGCCAGAGCTATGAAACCTCACACCATTGCTGAGGATTTACTTTGGCCAGTGGCCAAAGACATTGTTCGAGTTATGATCAGAGATGAATTTGTTACGAAACTGAGTGCAATTTCCTTATCTAATGACACTGTCTGCAGAAGAATAGATGACATGTCTCCTGATATTCTTGATCAGGTAATACAGGAAATTAAATCTGCTCCACTTCCAATATTTAGCATACAGCTTGATGAATCTACAGATGTCGCAAATTGTTTACAATTACTGGTTTACGTGAGGTATATTAATGATAGTGACTTTAAAGATGAGTTTCTTTTTTGCAAACCTCTTGAAATGACAACTACTGCACGTGATGTATTTGACACAGTTGGTTCATTTCTGAAAGAGCATAAGATCTCTTGGGAAAAGGTTTGTGGTGTTTGCACAGATGGTGCTCCAGCTATGCTAGGATATGAATCTGTATTTCAACGTTTGGTACTGAATGAGTCATCAAAAGTTATCAGAACTCACTGTGTGATTCATCAGCAAATATTAGCAATGAAGACACTGCCACAAGAGTTACAAGAAGTAATGAAAGGCATCCTAAGTTCTGTCAATTTTGTAAAGGCGAGCACTTAAAACAGTCAACTGTTTTCACAACTGTGCAATGAGTTGGATGCGCTGAGCAATGCTCTGCTGTTTCACACTGAAGTGAGATGGTTGTCGACAGGAAAAGTTTTAAAATATGTTTTTGAGCTTTGCCATGAATTCAAAATGTTTTTTAATCAGAGAGCAGGACCGCAGTTCGAAGCACTTTTCAGTGATAAAAGTGAACTGCAGGAAATAGCTTACTTGGTTGACATCTTTGCCATCTTGAATGAGTTAAATTTATCACTGCAAGGACCAAATGCAACATGCCTCGATTTGTCTGAAAAGATCCGATCATTTCAAATGAAACCAGCTTTGGCAAAAAAAAAGTTGGATGAAAATAAAATTTACATGTTGCCTACCTTATCTGCTTTCTTTGAGGAACATGACACTGAACCAGACAAAGGATTACGAAATTTTCTGTGGAAGGACACTTGCACATGCTTGCAGACAAAATTTCATCGTACTTTCCACATCTACCTGACACCCCATTTGCACTTGCCAGAAGCCCATTCACAGTCAAAGTTGAAGATGTTCCTGAGACAGCACAGGAGGAGTTTATGGAACTTATTAACAGTGATGCAGTGAGAACTGATTTCTCTACAATGCCAGTTACAAAATTCTGGATCAAGTGTTTGCAGTCATATTCTGTTCTGTCTGAGACTGTGTTGCACCTTCTTCTTCCATTTCCAACAACATATCTTTGTGAAACAGGGTTTTCCAGCTTGTTGGGTATCAGGCCGAAATACAGAAATAGTCTTGTTGTGGAAGATGATCTTCGTTGTGCTCTTGCAAAGACTGGCCCGAGAATTTCTGATCTGGTGAGAAGCAATCTCAACCTTCGCACTGACATTGGCTTTTTCCGCACACTGTCACAGAATGTAGCAATGTAGTTTACTGTTGTTATATTAAGACTGTTACCCATGCTACACCATGCTTCAAGACAAAATTTCATTTATTTGTAATTAGAAATAAATATTTCACAATATATAATTACATATTGTTTTTGTGATTAATCACTATGCTTTAATTCTGTTCAATTTGTAACAATGAAAATACATCCTGCACATCAGGTATTTACATTACAATTCATCACAGTAGCAAAATTACAGCTATGAAGTAGCAACTAAAATAATTTTATGGTCGGGGGTCACCACAACATGAGGAACTGTATTAAAGGGTCTCAGCATTAGGAAAGTTGAGAACCACTGTGCTAGATAAATATCTGCTTGGTCAGCTTGGAGCCAGAGCAAACGGATCTCACTTTTCAGTTTTATCTGGTTACCTACAACTTAGATGTTGTTGTTCTTACATTGGAGTACAGTCTTCCTTCAACAAGAGTAAACTTGGCAAATTCTTACCATTTGGACTGCTTTTTTAGAAATACCACATAGGCTACCCTTTCTGTTAAGGCAATTTTTGTTTGATAGGATTTAAGACAAATGATTCAGCAGATCTGATACATTTGTTCTTTAGTCTACATAATACCTAGTACCTGGCTATTATCCATCATATCATCCATGAGTGCAGTTATGCTTAAGGATGTGTTGGTTAACCATAGACTGCATGTATGACGGTGGTCCTGTAAGATTACAATGGAGCTAAAAACGTCCTATCACCTAGTAACACCGTAGCCATCCAACACTGTAGCACAGCACATTACTCATGTGTTTGTGGTGATGCTGGAGGAACAAATCTACCATGCTGCCAGTCGTAGGAAGGGCAGCGCATACAATTATGACAGTACATAATTTCTGATAATGACAATAAGCAACTGTTACTGATTAGTGTATTTAGTACACTATACTTTTGCTATTTTAGAGTTTATTTTTCTACTTATAAAGAAGTTTGCTGGCCTGGATGGTGTGGCTCAGTGGATTGAGCATCGCCCCATGGACTGAGAAGTCCGGGTTCGATTCCCAGTCAGGGCACATGCCCTGGTTGTGGGCTCCATCCCCAGCAGGAGGCGTCCAGGAGGCAGCCAGTCGATGTTTCTCTCTCACATGGATGTTCTCTGTTTCTCTCTCGCTCTCCCTTCCTCTCTCTCTAACAACAATCAGTGAAAACATGACATCTATAAACGAAGTCTGCTGGGAAGAGCACGCTGGCAGCAGCCTCGTGCACCTTGCGTTCTCCTCTGCGGCATCACTTTCTCTCGTGTTTGAGTTTGTCTCACGTCATTTTGCACAGTCACACGCTGCAAGGCTTGCAGCCTCCGTATGTAGTAGGCTCTGCTATCTAGGTCTTTGTAAGCACACGCTATGATGTTTGTACAACAATGAATTTCCTAGAATGTAGCCTGTTGTTAAGTAGTGCATGATTGTATTTTGATTTACGAGCAGAACAAAGAAAGAATTGTCGGATTTAACTAGTTAAAAATATCAACATAACCTAATTGAAGTTACTATGATTAAAGAATAAAGGGAAATGATAATGACCTTATTAAACTATTTGACAAATTATTTAAATTTTTTAAAAAATATTTTAAATAAAAATAATTTTGTAAATATACTCAGCATCTATTATAAATCACATAAAATGCTACCACCGAAAAATAACGTATTGGCAAAATTACTTCTAATCTTTTTTTTTAAAAGATTTTTGTTTGTTTTTAGAGAAAAAAATATAAAAAATATAAATAAGTTGTACCTTGGGTGAGGATTAAACATGTTTTTCAATTGATTTTATTTATTTTTAAATATATGTTTTTATTTATTTATTTTTATTTTGTTGCGAGTTAAAGTCAGCCAACTAACTCACCAGCAAAGAAACCCTTTCAGCCAGGGTTGATGGAAGGAGTCCATGAGACAGTGAACTTAACGTACCTAGTACTGCCCAGCTGGTGTGGCTCAGTGGCTGAGCACTGACCCCCGGATCAAGAGGTCACCTGTTTGATTCCCAGTCAGCCCACATGCCTGGGTTGAGGGCTCGATCCCCAGTAGGGGGCATGGAGGAGGCAGCTGATGTTTCTCTCATCGATGTTTCTATCTCTCTCTCCCTTCCTCTCTCTAAAAACAATCAATAAAAACATATTAAAAAATAAAATAAAGTACCTAGTACCATGCCTGACACAGAATGTTTGGTCAATAAACTAATTGTTGTTATGATCAGCATTATCATCACCATCTTTCTCCTCCATAGGCCTCCGGTATTTCCAGCTGTTTCACAGACAAGTATCTCAGCAGAGGCGTGGCTGGGGGCTGGATGCTCTAGAGCACACAGAGAAGTGGGAATTTGGTTCCACCCTTAAGTAGCTTATGGTCCATTATTAAAACTTTTTTTCTTATTCTATTCTATTTTATTTTATTTTAATTAATTTATTTTTGTTACAGATGTTTCTCCTTTTTTCCCCATTGACACCCTCCTCTCCATCGCCCCCACCCCGTCCCCAGCTTTGTTGTCCATGTCCATCGGTTATGCATACATGCATATAAGTTCTGTGGTTTATCTCTCCCCTCCCCCCACCCTCTCTTCTGAGGGTTGTCAGTCTGTACCCTACTTCCACGTTTCTGGGTCTACCCTGTTCCTCAGACTGTTATGTTCCTTATATTCCACAAATAACCGAGATCATGTGATATTTGTCTTTCTCTGCTTGGCTTGTTTCACTTAGGATAATACTTTCCAGGTCCCTCCATGTCATCTCAAAGGATAAGAGATCTTTCTTTCTTATAGCTGCATAGTACTCCATTGTGTATATGTACCACAGCTTTTTTATCCATTCGTCTACTGGTGGACACTTGGGCTGTTTCCAGATCTTAGCAATTAGTAAATAGTGCTGCTATGAACATGGGGGTGCGTATATTCTTTCTGATTGGTGTTTCAGGCTTTGTTTTTATTTATTTTTTAGAGAGAGGAGAGGAGAGGGAGGGAGAGAAACATCAGATGAGTGAGAGAGAAATATCAATCGGCTGCATGCCCCCTACTGGGGATTGCCCGCAACCCGGCATTTGCCCTCATAGGGAATCGAACCAGGAAGCTCTCTGTGCACGGGAAACCACTCAAGCAACTGAGCCACATGGGCCAGGGCAAAAAATTGTTTATTGATTTTAGAGAGAGAAACATTGATTTGTTGTTGCACTTACTTATGCATTCATTGGTTATTCTTGTATGTGCCCTCCTGACCAGGGAATCAAACCTGCAACCTTGGCTTATCAGGACAACACTCCAACCAACTGAGCTTACCTGGCCAGGGTGTGCCACTGAGTCATACTTCAGAGTGTGTCTTTACACACTGGTGTAAAAGACTTATGGTTTTTGTTTTAATACTGAACTTCTTCAACTCAGCTATCATACCATTTACATTGTTTTAACACAGGTAAAACAACTCCATGTTACACTTAAAGATATACTAGGTATACACATGTAATTAAAGTAGTATTAAAAAATAAAGCCAGGGTCAGAATTGGACAAGAAGGTGGTGGTGGGTAGGACCAGAGCGAGGGTGTGTGTGAGAGTGTGAGCGAGTGTGGGAGAGAGTGTGAGTGGATGCGAGTGTGGACGAGCAGCCTCAAGCAGTGTGGAGACGTGGGCAGAGGGTTCTGTTGCTATGGACTAGGCGTACCCTCTACCGCCTCAGCGGCTCATCAGGGGCTTCTCCCTGGGCCCTGAGTCCCCATCATTTTGGAAGAGCCCTGGTCTTCTCTGGAAGGAGGCAGCGGGGAGCAGCTAGGGCCCAGCGACCTGAGTCCCCCGTGCGAACCAGTGGATAAAAAAGCTGTGGTACATGTACACAATGGAATACTATGCAGCTGTAAGAAAGAAAGATCTCTTACCCTTTGAGATGACATGGAGGGACCTGGAGAGTATTATGCTAAGGGAAATAAGCCAGTCAGAGAAAGACAAGTACATATGATCTCACTTATTTGTGGAATATAATGAACAAAATAAGCTGATGAACAAAATAGACCCAGAGACATAGAAGTAGGGTTCAGACTGACAAACCTCAGAGGAGGGGGCGGGGTAGAGGGAAGAGATAAACCAAAGAACTTATGCATATAAGCGTACCCAATGGACGTAAACAACAATGCTTGAGGGGGGGGGGGGGCGGGAATGGGAGGAGGTGTCAATGGGGGGAAAAGGACAAACATCTGTAACAAAAATAAATAAATAAATAAATAAATAAATAAATAAATAAATAAATAAATAAAAGAAAGCAAGGCCCTGGCCAGTTTGGCTCAGCAGTTAGAGCATCAGCCTTTGGACTGGAGAGTCACGGGCTTGATTCCGGTCAAGGGCATGTATGTACCTGGGTTGCAGGTTTGACCCGGCCCTGGTCGGGGTCATGGAGGAGGCAAACAATCAATGTGTCTCTCTCATATCGATGTGTCTCTCGCTCTCTCCCTCCCTGTCTCCCACTCTCTCTAAGAACCAGTGCAAAAATATCCTCAGCTGAGGGTTAACAGAAAAATAAATAAATAAAGCAAGGAATGCAAAATTCAGGAGTGATTCCATCAGGTGGGAGGAAGTGATGTGAACACAGGTGATCAAAGTGTGGACAACATTTTAAGTTGAGTGGTAAGTACACAGTACTGGTTGCAGTTTACCTGCATTGCTTTTACATATTATCATATGCTTTACAAAACACAACCATGGCTCAATTGGTTGGAGGGTCGTTTTGTACACCAAAAGGTCACAGATTTGATTCCCAGTCAGGACACATACCTAGCTTGTGGATTCAACCCTCCAATGTTTCTTTCTCTCTTAAGAAAACTAAAGAAGCCTGGCCAGTGTGGCTCAGTGGTTGAGCTGGACCCTTGCACCAAGAGGTCCTTGGTTCCACTCCCTGTCAGGGCGCAGGCCTAGATTTCAGGCCAATCCCCAGTGGGGGCGTGCAGGAGGTGGCTGATCGATGTTCTCTCTCATGGATCTTTCTATCTTTCTCTTCCTCTTCCTTCCTTTCTCTCCAAAATCAATAAAGAAAAATATTTAAAACAAAACAAATATGAAAGATAGGAAGAAAGAAAGGAAGGAAGGAAGGGAGGGAGGGAGGGAGGGAGGGAGGGAGGGAGGAAGGAAGGAAGGAAGGAAGGAAGGAAGGAAGGAAGGAAGGAAGGAAGGAAGGAAGAGAGAGAAGAAAGAAAGAAGAGAAAGAAAGAAAGAAAGAAAGAGAAAGAGAGAGAGAGAAAGAAAGAAAGAAAGAAAGAAAGAAAGAAAGAAAGAAAGAAAGAAAGGGAGAAAGGAAGAAAGAGAGAAAGGAAGAAGGGGGGGAGGGAGAGAGGAAGGAAGAAGGAAAGAAAAAGAAAAGAAACCTGTGAGCCACGCTACACCTGGCCACCAGCTGCCGGTGAACAGCATAGCCACCAGGTATCTGGGCTCTGAGGCCAGGCCGCCCGATCAGATCCGAATCCCCACTCCACCACTCAGCAGTTTTGTAGACTTGGGCAGTTACTAAAATCTCTCCAAACTAAGGCATGGAGATAAAATCCAACTGTTTGTCAATTTTGTACAACCCTCCATCTAAAAATGGTTTGTCCACGTTTAAGTGATTAGAATAACTGCCCTCAATCACTGTTATCAAACTAAATGGCTTTGGAAATTAGCTTTTGCTGCAGACTTGATAATATTTCTCAATGAATTAAACTCAAAGCTATAAGGTAAAACAGTGCTTACACACCAAACTTACACTGTAATAAAGTCATTTCAACAACTAGCATTGTTTGAATCTCATGCTGCTTCATACACTTGCTGTGCTACTAATCACTTAAGAAGCAAGATCTCCACAGCCACACAAATTTGCAGTAGATATATTTTCTGAATTCAAACTATAGCTCCAGAAGTGTCTTTTGGACCTCGATGTAGGTAAAAAGAAAATTTCCATATTTCAAAAACCCATTTAACTGTGCAGTTGAGGACCTTCCACCTGAATTGGAAGCAATTAATCTGCAACATAATGACATGCTAAAAGGTAAATATTGAGCATAATTTAATAGAATTGTATAAATGTCTTCCAATGAATATGCTCAATTATAACCCTCAGCTCATGGGCTGATAGCAGTATTTGGCAACACCTATGACAAGAAAATTTCAGACACTTTCAAAGATAAAATACATAGCATCTCATTAAAAATCTCATTAACCGAGATAGGTCTTGGAGTATGAGCTACCTGTGGCTCCAGGCATGGTGCCTCACTTTAATAAGTCTTTGCTTTCCTGACTGAAGAAACAGTTACATTAACAGCTGAGCATTTGCTATTGATTTTGATGATAGGAAACACTAGCTTTGAGCGCCAATTAAGGAAGAAGTTATTCCCCCACAAAAGAATTCTATCTTCTCCTTAATGGCATTAGCATTACAAAAAGACTGTATCAGTCATTATATTTTGAAAATTATCAACACAAATTTTGTGGAAATCTGTTTTGTCTCTTGTTATATAAGCAACTACATAACAGCCTCAAATTTTCCTCTTGGACTATGTGGATAAAAAATGGGGTTCTGGCCCTGGCCAGTTTGGCTCAGTGGTTAAAGCATCGGCCTGCGAACCAAAGAGTCCTGGGTTTGATTCCAGCCAAGGGCACGTACCTTGGTTGCAGTTTGTCCCTGGCCCCAGTGGGGGTCGTGCAGGTGGCAACCAATCAATGTGTCTCTCTCACATCAATGTTTCTTCTCTCTTTTTCCCCCTCCCACCCTGTCTGAAGATAGATGTAAAAATATCCTTGGGTAAGGATTTTTAAAAAAGGGGGTTCTATGAAAAGTAACCTCACATGGTGATCTGATCATAAATTCCTAACTGGGCAGCTCCTGGTGGGTAGTCAACCTAGGCATATAACTTTTAGCAAAGGGTTTATTTATTTTTGCTTTAAGCAAACTCTGAACATTGTTCCTATGTATCTAGATTGGGGATTGTCAACTGATGTGCTGCAAGAATTGTTAAAGCATGCAATAACTGACTATTTAATCAGGTACTGACCTCTTTTCCCTTAAATTGTCAAATACAAAATGACAACAGCCAACACAACAATCGCCGTCTGGTGTGAATGAATCAATATTATACCTTTTTTTTTTTTTTTTTTTTGTCAGATTGGCAAAAATTATAGTTTTTGGTGTGCCACAGAATTTTAGTAATTAGTTTATGTGTGCCATGAGAAAAGTTGAAAATCACTGATCTAGGTTACTGATTTAATAATCACCGTCCCTGGTTGGGTAGCTCAGTTGGTTAGAGTGTCAACCTGATTTGACAAGGTTGTGGGTCCGATTTTCTGTCAGGACACATATAAGAATCAACTAATAAATGCATAAATAAGTAGATCAAAAAATAGATGTTTCTCTCCCTCCCTCTCTCTCTCAAAAAAACCAAAAACCACAGACAAATGAAAGAAAAAGAAATACCCATCTCAAAAGGGCACATAATCTTGTTACCTGTCCTGTAACCCCATCCCCACCCTGCTTTCTCCCTTCTGCAAGCCATCTCCTTACTTTCCCTTCTGAATTGCAAATGCATGAAAGCAGCCGCAAGACTGCATTACTCTCTGCAGCATTTGAGATCCTGTGAGACAGGCCAGGAAGCCGGGACCAGACGGTTAACGGCCAAGCAGTTTACAGCCGTGGAGTGAATCACAAAATCCGCTCTCCCCTAACCAAGGACACGTAAGAGTAAGCGGTTTGCACTTCTCCTCCCCACCTACAGGGTAAATAGCTGAAATCACCTACTGGGGAGACACACAGCAGAACTCCAGTCACTGCCACGTGTGCCAACCAACCCGCAGACAGATGGAGTCCGGGAAATAAATTTCATTTTGTCACATCAGCATAAATCATATTCTATTGGGATCTTTCCTAAGACCTCTCCTTAACTCCCAGACTTGAAAACCTTTAAGACAGAGGACCCAGCCCTGTTCTCCTTCCCAGGACCATGCCTCTGCCTTTCCCTTCCCCCACTACTTCCCGCACAGGCAGCATCTCCTAAACTCTAAGGGTCCCCACGAGACTTGCAACCAGGAGAGCAGCGGACAGTGGCCACTCATCCCAAGCTAACCCCCTGAACCTGTCTCCAAGACCCCCCTTTTCCCTGACAGCACTCCACCTTGGCTCACTTCTGTCATGTGACTTCTGTTTCTCATTGAGCCCAAGCAGCCTGCCTAGGCTTGCTCTTCTTGCTTCTTCTGTCCTAAGCCCTTCCTTGTTCCACTGTCCCCAGCTTTCATAAACAGCGTCTCAGAATGCCCTGGGCTCCTGTTGTGAAGCCTTTCCCGCACGGAGCTAAGAGCCCACACGTGGCTGGTCCGAGGCAGATGAGCTCCAGGCTGATTCCTTTCTGGTGACAGTTGCTCCCTGGCATATGTCATCAGTTTGGCTCAAATGAACTCTTATAAAAGTCAACCTGTCATAAAATGATTGTGAAGATTAAATAA